CCTGCTTGTGTTCCCTCTCTCGCTGTGTCTCTCTCTGTCAAATAAATAAATAAAATCTAAAACAAAACAAAACAAAACAAATCTCTCCAACTTTCTATGATACAAATTTTCACCTGTGCAGAAAAGTTGAACGATCCCTGTGAACACCCATATACCCACCATCTGGACTCCGCTCACGTTTCACTGTATTTCTTTCATCAGTGACGACGTGACTGGCCATACACTTTCATCTATAGGCCTTTCTCCTCGCACGCTCTCTGTCACCTGTCCCTAGCTGTGGTGATGCCAGGTCTGTGTCCCTGAGCGATGTGGACCTGTTCGTTCTCGGTTTGCATTCCAGTCTCTTCTCGACGACCAAGGCCTGGCAGAGGTGTCTCAGGTTGCAGAGGATGTCCTGGATGCCGTGAATAAGGGGCTCTACAAAGAGGCCACCCAGCTGTGGGGGAAAGCAGAAATGGTCATTGAACAGGTAATGAGACAGGCTCGAGGGCAGCCCGCTTGCCCTGTTCCCGGGGAGCCAGGACCCCCCGGTTGGTGCTGTCAGGATTTGGGGGTCTCCTGAGACTCCCCTCAGATCTGAAAATGATCAAGTGCTAAACGATAAAGTCGACGAGTCTGAGCAGTGATGAGCTCAGAAAGCCACCCTGGTCCTGCAAGACCCACTTGTCCCTTGACCAAATGTATGGACACTATAAGAACTAATAGGTCTTGCAGAAGTGAATGTTTGAATCCTTGCCAGGCAACATTCTGTCCCCAGTGAGCCAGGAGGGAAGAATGCACAGCCGAGGACGAGTGTGCCGGACCCCCCTTAGCCCTCTTCTCCCTGTAAATTAACACGCAGGCCCTTGGTTTTCTCCAGCATCTGAGATCCACTTGGATGAGCTGCTCACTACCGCAACCCCCCACCCCCACCCCGAGATCGGGCTGACAGCTGGTCTCAGAGCTGCATTTCTTGTTGGTCCAGGCACATTTACAAAGTTAAAGCTGTCCTTGGATAAGATGGAGAGCCTGTTGCCTTTCTGTTAGGCAGCTTTGATAATGGATAAATAAAACAAACAGCCAAATATCATTCTGTATTTCAGAACACAGATGGGGTGAACTTCTATAACATCTTAACTAAAAGCACTCCCACATCTGCAGTGAAGTCAAGCCTTGAATTCACCCAGAGCCCCCTAGGTAAGTGAACCTTGACGTTGCTAGACCCCGTCTCTGTCTCCATGCAAGAGGGAATCAATTCTTTTAGCTTTATTGACATAATTTACATACCACAAAACTCACCCATTTTAAGTGTATGATTCAGTGGTTTTAGTGCATTCCCAAAGCTGCACAGCCATCACCACAATCCAGTTCTAGAAATTTCCATCATGCCAGAAAGATCCCGTGTCTCCTGGCAGTCAGTTTCCGTTCCCACGCCCAGCCCCAGGCAGTCACTAATCTGTGTTTCTAGATACGGACGTTTCATATAAATGGAACCATTTATATGGGTGGTCTTTTGCATCTGGCTTCTTTCGCTTACCATAGTGTTTTTGAAGTTTGGAAACCAACTTCTGCGCATTACACGTTACAGTCCTTCTGAAGGCTGGATTGAGCTGTCTTTCAGCTGACCCAGCTTCGCCGCGGATGCTGAATGCCTGACGTCCTCCCTCCATAGGAGGCCTGTAAAGGCTTCGGGAGCCTCTAGATTCCACTTTGCAGCTGATCTCCTTTGGCCGTGCTGGATAATCTCAGCGGCCCCAAAGTACATAAAGTGCAGCAATCAAAATTAATAAAGCATCTCCACTTTCAGTGTCTTTCTGGCTTTCTTCCTCCATCTGGGGTGAATGAAGGTGACGCTTTTCGTTTTCCAGCTGAAAGCCTCCCTCTTAGACACACTGTCCCAGCTGCTTGGGAAAGACGTGCTCTTGGTCGTATTGCCAGTCCTTTGACTCACCGGGTACCAGTTTGTTTCAGTTCACCTTTACCAGCGCCACGTGAGACACCTACAGAAGGATACCTTAAGTCAGCTCATGAACGGTCCCATCAGAAAGAAGCTCAGAATTATTCCTGAGGATTGCTCCTGGGGAGGTACTTCGGTGACCTAATTAAGGGCCATTTGTGGGGTTGCAGGGCAGTGGAGGGGCCAGTTCAAAGGCCTTAATTTGAAGAATGGGTTTTGGCGGTGGTGATGGTAGGTTGCAGGTAGGACAGCATTACTGGCCACATTTTATAGGTGAGCAAACATAACGTGCCCAAATTGGTTCAGAATAAGAGGTTGGTAGGGAAGTGGGTGGGGAGGGAAATGTAATGATGGGTTAGGTGTTGATAAATCTTGTTGCAGCCAGGTTATGGGCACCTGGGAATCCTCTTACCCTTCTGACTTGTTATCAGTTTGAGGTTTTCCATAATAAAAACAAAAATCGAGATTAAAAAAAAGCCACGCCCAAAGCTACAGTTGGTTATGGGTGTGACTTCCAGACAAAGGTCCTTTGGGGCAGGGTTTGACCAGCTCCCCGGCCAGGCTCCCCCCCCCCCAATCCTGATGCTGGATGTGGTTCCGGGGTCTACTATATTCTGTTCTGGGGACCATATTAGGAACTGTTGGGGGCAAGGGGCAGTGCCCGGTGTAGTCCCCTTGCCCGTGGTTTGGCAGACCGTGACTGATAGAGAAAGCTCCGTGGCCCCAGCTGTGTCTGGTCCGGAAAGGACAAACTTGCCGGCCGATACCCATACCCAGGGCTTGCGCTCCGGCGTGCAGTTAAGCCTACGCACCAGGGAGCCCGCCGGCCCGTGCTCATACCCCGCCTGCCACTGACTGGCTCGTTCTCCCTGGCCATGTATCTTAGCCTCTCGGAGCCTCGGTCGCTTTAACCACTGCCCAAGTTAGGACTCCGTACCTCCCAGTTTACTAGAGGGAGAAACCACCTTGACAAGGGCAAGGCCTCCAGTATCTTGTAGGTCCTCTTTAGCGTACAAAAGTCCTTTTGAAAACCTCCCTTTTTCCTTACCCTCCAACTCCAGAGTATATAGAGGGAGTATATATCCTTGATGACGAGGAAATGCGATCTTGTTTGTAAAGTGCTTGTGGACAGAAATGAATAGTAGTTACTGTTACTGTGGGGTTCACTGTCACGGTGATGACAGTCAGGAATCCGCCAGGAGTGCGGTGCTGACCATCTTCTCTCTTGCCTGGGGCTCATCGGGCTCATCCTCCCCGTGGTTTTCCTGAGGGCTAGCTCTGCACTGGTTTAGGTCTGATTTGGTTTATTACTAGGGTAGCCCCACTTGTGGCCCTGATGTTACTTAGCAAAGGAGGAAAACTAACACCTGCCCCAACGCAGAGATTGTTCCCCGAGAGGACCGGCCTAACGAGTATTTTGTGAAGCTCCCTGTTTGCTTGGGCATTAGCCTTCAGGAGACTGGCTCCGGGCATGGATTTCTGGGCGGTCGGTCCCTGTTGGTGAAGCACAGGGGTTACTTTGGGTGCCGGGGCCCAGGAGGCTCTGGTCTGAAAGGTGCCCCGTGTTCTGGCAGATTGCAGGCTCTTACCTCTTTCTCTTTCCTCACGTGCAGGGCAGTCTGCCGATGTCTTCCAGAACATGGAGGGGGACTTCATGAAGCCGGTCATCAGCATCGTGGACGAGCTGCTGGAAGCCGGGGTCAATGTGACCATTTATAACGGACAGCTCGATCTCATCGTGGACACCATAGGTAAGGAACACGCTCCGAGGGGCACCTGGAGGCTGTTCCTTGGGGTGAGCTGGAAGGGAACTGGCCCTGGCCAGACATGCCATTCGGGGCTGGGGACATTAAAATGCCTGGAGGAAGGCCATTTCCTGTTACGTTCATCTGCCCCGACCTTGACGTCTTTGAAGAGGACAGAGCTGTTGAGGCAGTTATTGAATGTAGGTGAGGTTTGATGGGATGAGGTCTGGAGCTGACGGCCAAGAAAGAATTTTTTTTTCTGTTTTTGTTTTGTTTTGTTTTTTGTTTTTTTCAAGAAAGAATTCTTGAGACGTCTTTGGTGCAAAACGGTGGTTTTATGAAAGCACAGGGACAGGACCCGTGGCCAGAAAGAGCTGCTACTTCAGGGTTATGAGGGGTGACTGATTATATACTCTGGAGTTGGGGGTAAGGAAAAAGGGAGGATTTCAAAAGAACTTTTGTACGCTAAAGAGGACCTACAAGATACTGGAGGCCTTGCCCTTGTCAAGTTAAAGTGGTTTCTCCCTCTAGTAAAGCATTAACATTAAGACAGTTGGGAGTTTCCTATTGGAAGTCAGGTGATTGATAAGAATGCTTTTTTCTTGTAAATCATGAAGATATTTGTAAACTGAGGGAGGCGCTGGTCTTGCTGGACTGTGATCTCGGGTTAGTTAAACATTTGTTTTTCTTTCCCTTAGCTTTAGGGCAGCGGGGAGTGTCTGAGGAATGTCACACAGATCCCACCTGGGGGTAGGGGGGGCAGTTTGCAGGTTGTCAGCTTGTGCTTGCCCTCTGCTAGCCTTCTGCGCCCTCATCACGGTGACCCCTTAGAGAAGCCTGGGCCTGCCAGATTTTGAGGCCCTTATGCATGATTAAGAAATGCATGACACCTACTCCCACCACAAATAGAAAAGGAGACCTTTTCCTGGCCATGGGGTCAATGCACTGGTGAGTTGAGTCTTTGTCACTGTCCCAGTAGGTGGTAAGCTCTGCAAGCTGAATTGAAACTAAACCCTGCTGATTCTAAACCTGAGGACCCAGGGGAAATGGCCTTTGGGGTTCTTTTTCAGTAGGACCAGGTAAAGACTGAGAGGCAGGTTTTCAGAACCAGCAGGTAAATCGAGGCACACGGTATGACAGGTATGATGCACCTCTTGAGGTCAGCGGGATTGAATATTTCCGCCACTTGTAAGCCAAGGGCACTAAGGCCACTTTGAAGCGGTTCTGTGTTTCTTCCATGACCTGCCCAGTGATCCACGTTAGCACCTTCTGACCCTGAGACCTCTCAGTCCTCCGGAGAGTCCTGCCACCTCCAGAGGTCCCCACTTGCCTTGCTTCAGAGCATATGGCGGTGGGAAAGGCAGAGGCAGAAGTAGTCAGGCTTCTCAGCATTTAGGTTTCTCCCAGGTATCTTGGGCATCACTGGGAGTTTGCTGGAAAGGCAGTCTCAGGCCCTACCCAGACCTACCGACTCTGAATTTGCATTTTAAGCGGATCTTGGGATGGGTTCTGTGCGCATCACAGTTTGGGAACGGCGAAGTGATGGGATCTAGATTTTTGTTTCTACCCCACCCAGCTATTGATGCCAGGCCCTGCTCTTTCCCTCTCGCCAGGTCAGGAGGCCTGGGTGCGGAAACTGAAGTGGGCAGAGCTGCCCAAATTCAACCAGCTGAAGTGGAAGGCTGTGTACAGTGACCCGAACTCTTCAGAAACGTCTGCTTTCATCAAGTCCTACAAGAACCTGGCTTTCTACTGGATCCTCAGAGCCGGGCACATGGTGAGGCCGCGTCCCTCAGCCTTTGTGGTGGGCTCTTAGCTGCTCTGAGGGTGAAGCCATGGGCAGGCAGTTGATTATGCGTTGAGTGCACTGCCCGGACTGGCCTTAGAGGAAGTGATTTGTTTTGGGAAGTGTTTCCGGGTCTCTAATGAAATCCTGCTCTTAGTGCTTCAGTCCTTTGAATCTAGAGATCCTCATTTAAAACTAAATCCTTCTGAGAGCATTAAGCTGGGCTCTGTCTTTTACTCCTTAGGTTAAATGAGTTTAATGTTACTTTCCTCTTAATCATTTGTCTTGGGGGAAGAAGGGAGAAATTGTCTTTCCCTCACATTTTCGGGGAGCGAAAGCCAAGTTAGCACTCTGGAAAGCTGAGTCGCAGGGCATGGTACAAGGTAGGGGGAGTGTTCGAGCAGCAGTAGCTTCCAGATTTCCAGTTCGGAAGAGGCTTTGTGTGCAAAGATGAGGTTGTCTCGCTCCTGCACTTGCTAAGCGAACACACTGTCTCCCCTTAGGTCATAGGTTGACTGAGTGGCTATCCATGGGCTGAGGGAGATTCTGGAGGGATGAATCCACTGTAAACACACACGTGTGTGTACGTACACATGCAAACACCTGCAAAGGCACCCGAGGGGTCGGGTGCTTCCCTCACGGTTAGGCTTTGGTCTGGCCACTTACATGCAGGTTCTCTCTTCTTCCCAGGACAGTGCTTTCCTGGAGGAGATTCACTGGGAGGGGTGGTAAGGTGCCCTGTGGGCGGCTCTCTCCGCTTGGCCCCCTGGTGCTTAGGACAGAATCTCCATAGAGAAGGGGCTGAGGGGTGGTGGTCTGGCTAGAAAACTGGTCTTTAAGCTCCGTTTGTACATCAAGCACATATAGTGTATTTACTTGGATGGCCGAGGAGATGCTAAGAGGGATTTCAGCAGGAACTAAAGTGCCCTCTCCAGAAACCAACTCCTTAGGGGTATTACCTAGGCAAGGAGGAGGTGTAGGAGCAAGAAAAACAGCATGGGCAGGTCCAACGGAGCCTCAGGAGGGGCCCTGGGGAGAGATGAGGCCGGGGATTCCTTGTTAGGGAGCTCACACATATCCCGAAAGCAACAGCGTGCATTGAGGGTCTTAAAGCAAAGGAGTGAAATGGCCAGATTTGTCTAAGAAAAGGCATTCTAGCAACAAAGGTTTGGTCTGCTGCCCCAACTGATGGGGTGCCCCCCAGGGGATGAGACTAGGGCAAATAGCCGATCTAAAGTGCTTTTTTTTTTTTTTAAGATTTTATTTATTTATTTGACAGAGAGCACAAGCAGGGGGAGTGGCAGGCAGAGGGAGAAGGAGAAGCAGGCTCCCTGCGGGGCTCGATCCCAGGACCCTGGGATCATGACCAGAGAGGAAGGCAGACGCTGAACTGACTGAGCCACCCAGGTGCCCCTCTAAGATGCTCTTATAGTAATCAAGGAGGGAGAGAAGTAGAGGAATTTGATAGTGTCAGAAGGGAGAACTGGCCGGACTTGGTATCTGTTTGCCTGTAGAACCTCCATGTAGGATGCTCATAAGGCAGCTGAATATATACACTGTGTATATATGATCTGGAGTCAAATTTTTGCTCTTGGAGAGATTTGGGAGTCGAATATGAAAAAGGCCAGGGACAGACCAGTATTTAAAAGGCAGGAAGTGAAAGAAGGACCTACAAATGAGACTTGAGAGAGGGCAGCCAGAAAAGGAGGAGGGAGACCAGGGACGTGGGCATCCACAAAGTCGCCAGGGGCCGGTGGTGTCGCAAGCTGCCACCAACTCAGATAAAGGAGCGAAGTGTCAGCACTGATTCGGGCACAGGGGTATCCTTAGTGCTCGTGGCAAGCGCTTTTGGTGCAGTGGCGGGCCTGGAGGCCAGCACGGAAAGGGTGCAGCAGATGAATGGGCAGTGAGGGAGGGAAGACAACTTCCTCTCAGAAACCGGAAGGATAGGAATCTGCCCTTTTAAGAAACTTCATCTGAAGAGACCATGAACAAGGCAGCAGGACCCACGGTTAGGAGGGCATTTTGTTAGGGCTTGCTTTTTTTTTTTTT